ATTCATTTTATGAAAAAAATAATTTCTTTTATTTAAAGTTAATTTTAATTAGCGAAATTAAACGAATGAATTATCAAAAAGAATTTGTAAAATGATTTGGCTTTGTATTTTTATAAGAAGTATAATTCAAATAGACACAATCTTGTGTAATCTCATATTCATGATAATCTGGTTTAATATCCATCTAGTTTGGGATAATATTTGAAACTGCTAATTGTATATATTCAAAAATAAACATAGTTATATTAGTTATATTGATTATATTGATTTTATTATAGAATCAAAAATATATTTTGTTATATTTTTTTATATTTTTTTAATTTTAATGTTCGTTGCTTAAGATCATTATGTCTAAACTTTAGAATTGGAATTTAACAGGAGAAAACTTGTTTAGATTATTAATATATTTTAAGATGAAGTAGAGGGAGGTGTATTTAATATTTTTAGTTTTCAAAATTATGATTGTTCTTATTCATTTTGTTTTGTCAAAAAATATTACAGCCAATTCATATGAGAAAAAATAACATCGCCTTATGAATTATTTCATTAAAATTTCAGTTTTAATAAAATTGGATTTAAAGATTAATTGACCAATTTTCTAAATTTGGCTAAAATCCTAAAATCCTAAATGTAAGGCTATTCGAATTAGTGATAAAAATATAAAGAATATTTCTTAAATGAAATATTCTTTATCAGCCGATAAAATTAATTCCCTTAATTTAGAGTTAATATAGCTATAATAAATATAATAGAGTAGATATCCTTTCAAATGATTAATTGTGACCTAGCACTATTTTTAACCCCTTTTAGAGATTTTAAAATTAGATCAATATAATATGAAACAAAAATTGTTAATTTTTCTAATTTTTACAATTCAATTAGTTACTAATAGAAGACGATTATTTAAAATTAAAAATAGAAAATATACTTATAGAAATTGATTTTCTTGTACTTGGTTAGTTCATTTAAGTAAGAAAAATTCTTTTGTGAATGGAGTAAATTTTTCTCAGATATCATTTCTTGAAGATCTGTTTCTTTTGTTAATAAAATATCATATTTTTTTTGCAGATGATGTAAGTGATATAGCAGTTGTGATTAATAATAAATAATTGGAAGGTTTTAAGAAATGGAAAGCATCCCGTAAAATTTTGATCCCCTCATTAATTAAGAGAAAAATTTTGGCTATGCTAATAAAAGCCATTAATTAGGAATGATATAAACCTAGAGTTAAATTACCCTATATCAACTTGAATACAAAGGCCTTTGATTTTTATTAGCCATAAAGGGAAATATATACTCATTCACAAATTATTCATAATATAAATCTTATGAGTATGAATTTGCAATAAATTTAATAATTTCGAAATAAAGTAAGATTTCTAACGGAAAATGGATGAAAGTAGAATATAATGCAATCTTTTTATTAAGAATCCTCTACTTAGGTCTGTTAGGCATTAAAGGCAATCATAAATCATTTAAATACCCTTTACATATAGTGAGATAAAAAATTGATGGTAGATAAGATATTCTTGCGTCTCATCTTAGGTGTAATCATCCTTATCATAATGAAATTGAGGGGGATGAATATGACAAATAATATTGAATTTGACTTGCTTGTGTGATCCAACATGCTGGCTAACAAACTCAAGGCTTTATCTATTAATTCATCTATTTTACTTAATATTAGAATGAGATTGGGTCAAATTGATTTAGGATCTACTTTAAAATAACATAGTTGCAAGAATTTGAATTACCCCTACATTTTTTCCATTTTGAATTTAAAAAAACATAGAAGAGAAATAAATGTTCTCCACGA